CCAGATGAAAGCCGACCGCAATTACAAGCGCGCCGCATAGAGTGGTGCCGTTCGCCAACGGCCGCTCATTATCTACCAGCAGTAAGTAGCAACGTTCCTACATTTTAGTCTTGCATGTATCATTTCATGAGCAAGAAAGGTCAGAGTTAGCTGACAAAGAAGACAATGGGATCATGAATTATGTCCGCGGTTCATGCTCTTCAATCTGTCTGCTCCTCAAACCCTTTATTTGTTATTTAGATAAACAAAATCCCCGTCACGGTTTCTTTGCATTGCCGTGTCTGAAGGAGGTCCATAAGACACCTGAGCATGGAGCCTCTGCTGTGGCTTCCCACAGACAGGATTTTCACTTTAATCTGCGTCGTTCTAAGGGATGAGGGGGGCAGCTGGGACACTCATCCATGCCATCACCAGATTACTCTGTCACACACAACTAAAGGAGATTGGGATTAGTTTTGATCACAATCAAGCATCGGCATTGTTCATTATAATCATTCCAGAATTAAGGGTTTCGATGGAGGATGAAATCCTCCTCTTCACATGAATGACGGGGGATTTTAAATACAGATCTTCACAGCAAGGATTAGTTGATTCTTGCTCACTGTAATTTGAATTGTACGCATTACAATCACTTGATGAAGGAATGACTTGAGGGTGTTAGTGTGTTTAATGTGATTATACACATATATGTTGTATTGCTTCCTGCCTTGATTTCTTCCACTCTTCCCTTATTCTCTCCCCCTCCCTCTCCCCCTCTCCCCCTCCCTCTCCCTCTCTCCCTCCAGGTTCAGCTTCACCCTGTGAAAGAGGAAAACTGAAACATTCATCGGAAAAAGCGGATGTAAAAAGTTGTAGTTTTTGATTAACGTAGAACAAGTACTATATTCTCCCGGTTAGTAAAGAACTTACTGCAAAACCGGTACACAATTAAGATGAGTATCAACTTTCTTCCTTTGCTCCTTTTTAATTCCTTTCTTCCGTCAATCGTCCCCTTCTTCCACACTTCTTTCAGGTTTCCCCTTCTCTTCCCAGACAATATCTTCCTTAGCCGATGATGTTGCATACAGCCAGTACCAGCTGTACTTGTACTGAATCTCTTTGAGCCAGAGCCCGACGAGGAGCGACCCGGAGAGAGAGAGACAGTGATGCCCTCGACCTGCTCCTTCTGCCCGTCTCAAACACCCCTTTAACTCCTGTGGCGATAGACCTCCACCCCTCTGACTTCCAGCCTTCAACAGCAAGGTGGCTGTTTCCAGCTCTTCACTTTAAATACTTTAAGAGCTTCAACTGACACTTCGGATGCTTTTAGTGCTTCCAATTTAAATCCGTTACTGCCATTCAAAAACACAGATACAAACAAACAATCAACCCTTTCAGATCTTTACCTGTTTGCACCTGCATTTTATGGTATATTCCAGCTGGTCTCTCAGCCGGTTAGGTACAGTCTCCTCTAATAGATAGGCCCACTCCAAATGTGGAGTTACATAATGCCCGAGCGGTGTTCAATTAGTCTGTTTTATTATAAAAATATGCAGCCACAGAAAGTACCTGCAGTACAGCTCCACTTTGTGCGCAAGAGCTTTTATCAGGAGTGGGCTTCCAAAAGCGCTGGTTTCACATGTTGAGCTGCAGCATGTGAAAGAAGAGAAGTGGAGTGCTCATCTAATAAAACCCAAAATGGATTTCACCGGTTTGACCAAGTGTGCATATTCAGATTGTGGTTTACCTGCCGTGGAAGCAAGACAAACAAATAATAATATAGATGATGATCATAGAAGACTATAAACTATTTTGATAATGGATTAATTCATTTATCTTCCAAACAACAATGTACCCAGTTCCACCTTTTGGACTGCTGGTTGGTCAAAACAAGTTATTTAAAGTCCCTAGAGCCAGCAGGCATTGACGCCGTTTGTTCTTTTACCACGAGAAAAGCCTTCAGCGCCACCCAGCAGTCTTTAAACCCCGACATCATCGGTCATCCAGAGGCACACCACAGGCAACACTCAGTCATCTTGTCCATCAACAGCCTCCAGTGCTCCGAGGCCACCAATCAGCCATCCATCTGCCTCCTCCATCCTTCAGGGGACCCTGACCTGCAGCTGAAGGAGAGCGACCTCTCAAGGCTCCCACGCAACACAGGAGAAGGTCTCCGACTGAGTGACTCTCATGAAAGAAGAAAAGAAAAGGAACTAAGAGTGACTGCAGAGTTTCACACTCATCGCACACTTCAGATGTCTTTTTAAACAAGACTTTTCTTTCTCTATTGTCTTTATGTGAAGTTCTTCCGGTTTCATACTTTTAGTTGGATAAAACAACCGACATTTTATAAACCAAATGAATCAATTAATCCTGAAAATGATCAGAAACACCTTTTAGTTGCAGCCTCACTGCTAAATATATTTACGGCACACTTAAATATAGAGTTTTCATGAAGTGTGGCTGCAGTGAACACGACCTTATCTATTCTGTCTGGAATCTGTTGGAGTGGTGGTTTTAACAAAACTGAAGCTGATGAATAAAATTATCAATGTTACATCATAAAAGAAGTTCCAAATGGTATTTGAGGTTGGAGACAGGAGCTCTTATTTTTAGAGAAACAGAGGGAAACAAGCGTTTAAAGCAGGACTGAGGCCTTGGACTCTGAGCCAGATGAGAATGCATAATGTTTGGTTACATTGACCTTAAATACAGTTGTATACTTCTTCTGAATTCCTGATGAATGGGCTCGTCACAGGAATGAAAAGGTCACTGGATCGCATCTGAAATTAGATTTCTCAGTTATTTACTTAAGTTTCACGCATAAGTGAGCGTTAGTAATGTAGGACTAACATTGAGTGCCCAGGAATTCAGCCGCATCAACAGACTGGCCTCCTCCTACACAGTCCAGCAGTTATAAATAGTGATTGGCTGCAAATTACCAGATTAATATAAATTCAATATTTAGTTTTCAACAACTCCTGAGGAAAATATCTGGCTCCTTAGCAGCTGAATGCTCTTCTCACTACGTTCACCAGCTCGTGACTAACTGTACGTTACGTTTGGAGCTGGGCAGGGAGTGGACACTCGGTTTATCTGAGGGTTGTAAACTAGAAATGGATAATCGCTTTGGGTGGAAATCACAATAATGAGAGCAGTGAGTTTGAACCATAACAGTAAAACCAAAGACTAAGAGAGAAAGGAGCTGAAGCAAACTGCTGATTCACCAATTCAGGCAGCAGAGAGGAGGAGGAATCAAATGCAGTTCAATGATTGATTGACCAGGTGAAGATATCTAAGCTCACTGAAAGTCCAAACAGAAGTGATCCAGAAATCCCCCAGTAATAACCAGAATGGGGCAGACATGCAGGTACAGATACAGGCTTCAATAAACAGGTTGCAGGGCTCAGATTAAGACTCCAGGTCACAGGTTGCAGAGTACAAAGAGCAGGAAAACAAAAGGCATAAAGCAACGCTGACAATCTGGCAGGAAATGAGTGGAAATGGGCCGATGGTGTTTGAAGAAAGCACTGGAATCAGACTCAGTTTGATGCAATAGAGTTTATTCTTCAAGCAAAGAATTCAACCCGAGTTCACTCTCCGGAGAGACACTGATGTATTCCATTCTTTAGTCTTATATATATATAGCTTAAAACAACTTTGAACTTGTTAACAATTCCCATTTTACGTTGCTTTTCTGAGCTTTCTTTAAATAACAATTACTGTTCTTGTTAGCGTCTCTATTATCGTTGCCAAAATTAAGCCGTCACATGCAGCACATGGCAAATCAGAAAGAGTGTTCCTCCAGATTGTGTGTGTGTGTGTGTGTGTGTGTGTGTGTAGTGAAGCACTACAAATGCTCATTGGAGGTGGGAAATGGGTTTTGCTACCGGAGAACTCCCAGTGCGACTCCTGCCCGCACTCTCTCCCTGCTAATAAAGAAGCACTTAGCCTCACAACTCCGGTTCACTCACTGCTACGATGATGGTGTAGATTAGGACAGTGTGTGTGTGTTTGTGTGTGTGTGTATTAAAGTACAGATTGCAGCAGAAGTGTCGACAGCAGTGAAGATAAAAGTGACTCGGAGCGTAATCCCTCTTGTGACATCAGTCGAGAAACAGAAATAGACTGAAGATCTTTCTGTTTTCTAAAAAATACTTTGCAGGTACTAGTTTTTAATTGTTTATATGAATGTTTTAAGAATTCTTTGGTGGGGTCTTATCACAAATTAAGAGTCTGAGTGGTGTAGTTAAAAGACAAAGGAGAGAAGATGTTAAGGAAACGTGAGTTTAACACAAAACCTCAGAGTGGAAGAGGATCTGAATGAAATACCCTGCTGATGTCATTTTCACAGCCGCTTGTCACTAAGTCGATTCACATATTCACTCGCACTATGAGGAAAGCGAGAAGACCCGCTGAATCTCTCTGTTATCTGAATACAAAGCGAGGCCTGGAGGAATATTTCCACACTTCAGGACATAGTCTTCCACCCCGAGGCCGATGGAGTACCACCTTTCTTTTCTCTCGTACTTCAAAAAAGGAAGTCTTTTAAAAGTACAACAGTGGTCGGTCTTCAATATCTGACTGAGGCAACCTTGGTTTTATCAAAGATCCTGCCAACATTCAAGGACATTCCTGTGGGGGGGGAAAAAACGAAAGATCACGATAACTCTATCGAGTTTTTTCCCAAAAATAACATTGCTGTATCCTTAACCTATGCGCATCCACCACATAATTCAAGAACTAAGAGGAACAACATTTCAGGGCGGCCATCTTCAAGTACACACAGTGTGTGTTCAACCCTAATTGGTATCGAACTAAAAGAGCAACAGACCCATACTTAAATAGAGAACTTATCTTGGCACCCGCTAATGGGATACATTAATCTGTACGAGCTGTTGAAGGGGATATTACTTAAGATTTTGAGGATACAAAAGCACCCATTCGATCATCACTCAATCTCCGCCATCCCTCCCACTCATGAGAAAGCTCCACAGGAGGCTTCGTTGTGCGTTTCTTACCTCTTTCCCAGACAGGTAGTAGGCGGACAGCAAACCGCCAACGAACCGGATGTTCACCTCAAACACAGACACCTCTGCATTCTGCAGCGGGGAACAAAGACAAGAAATATGAGAGGAGGGAACACTTACAGAAGTGCTACCCATGAATACAAATGCATCCACCCACAAACTGTGAAACAGGAAAACACAAACTCAAGACAGAAATGTTCCTGGGTCCCGTTTCGCTTTTGGGGGATATTTACAGATATTTTTGGATTGTAGGAGCAAACCGTTCATACTGTTAAAATTTACATTCGGGCTGGTTTAGAACCGAGACCTGCCATGAATGAAACAATGAGCAATGGAGTGTTTCGACGAAGTGGCTGGCGACATATTAGCAATGTGCATGTGTGCAGGGTTTGTGCATTGTGCATGTTTTTTACAGTGTATTGAGCAGTGGATACCTGCACTGCATGAGTCGTTTTTAATTCTGCATCCGGGGTGTTTTGGTGACCATCACAACATAAAACAGTTCCCATGAAATGTTGCGCAAACATTCATGATTCCCAAATAAGGATTTGTAATCACAGCCCCTTCAACTTTTCATCCACAAGTATTGATATTCCCATGAGCCTCAGCTATACTTTGTGTTTAGTGCCAACTAGCAGATGTTGAAAAAGCTACACTAAGAGGATGAACGCGGTAGCATCGTAGTGGCTGGACATCAGCGCGCTAGATTCGTCCTTGTAAGCATGTTACCATGCGGCCGTTAACATTTAGCTCCGAGCACCACTGAGCCCAAACACAGCACGGCTGTAGACACTGAGAAATAGTCATCGATGTAAGTGCCAAACTTTGAGTTGTTCTGTCCTGTGGTTGATCAGCGTATTTTTAAAGTGTTTATAAAAATATGAAAATGCTGATGAAGTATGAAGGCCGCTTGCTGGGCGCTCTTATTCCAATCTGTCACAGAGCAGTGAAGGGCTTCACGTCCTCCAAAGTTAAAAAAACTAAATCCCCAGATACCAAACATTGCCGTAAATGGCAGTGATAAAGTGCACCGCATCTAAAAATACAATGCCTTCATTTCCAGACAGTTCTTGGCAGAGGGAATGGGACAAATAATGACAAAAAAAAATGTAAATTTGTGAAGCCATTTGTCTCAGCAACAGAACAATGAAGCCCCCCCCCCCCCCCTCCCTCTGCGTCTTTATGAACAGATTCCTGAGTCAGATGAAGTTTTTGTGCTTGACTGACAGCTCTCATAAGTCACTGCTGTCGGCCAGAGATAGGACAATAGAGTCTGTCCGGTGGAAAAACAAATTACATGCCAGACAAAATGTGTGTCCCGTCATCCCCCGCCCCCAAGTCTGCATGGCTGATTGAGGAGTTAGATTGTGTTGCTAATTCTTCCGAATTAAAATGTAATCATTTCCTCCACAACGTGCTGAAATGCGAAAGGACACAATTATTTCTACCTGCTGTCTCGGAGTGCCGTTTAAATGAAGAGTGAAGCCCAAACACTCCAGCTTTATACTCACAGCACTTTTGAGCAAACGGCTGCAGCGCTTCTTCCTGCAGCGTCTGCTTTTAGCGACCATCACTGCTTTAAAACTGTTGGACATTAACCCACGCAGTCGCATGAGTCAGCAGTTGTGTGACGTTATCTCACTCCTGCAAGTTGGCAGGCGAGGAGTCAGGTGCCCTGATGTTGCAAACATTAAATCCATTACAGAGCGCACAGGAAACGGACTGAGCGCGGCCCTTTCCTAACAGAGCGCTAATTAAGGGCCATGGCGAGATGAATCGATGAGATAATCACCTGAGTAGACCTCTTTAGATGGAAGTGTATCTTGTGATCTTTTTTTTTGGGGGGGGGGGGGGCTACTTGTTACTGGACAAACTGTATTTGCTGATCTTAGAGCTTAATATAAAATGGCAAAAAAAGCAACCAACACCTCTATTTTTCTCATACCAGGAAATTCATGAGTTTCCCTTTTCCAACCCTTTGTAGCTCATGATCGTGAGTTGTGTTTCAGAGTGTTTGAGTTATGACAGAGGGAGTCTCGGGAGTGCTATGAAGCCCGTGCTCTTGCTCTTTCCCTTCAAATAGATCTAAAGGCGTTGCGTCGCTGCTTGTGTAGAAATAAATGGCAGTGTGAGCTGTGCGGCTCCTGCAGTGGGACTCTGAGGGAGGTGTCGGAGCTGCGGTCGTATTTTGTCAGGTCCGAGATGAAACGGGAAAAAACACGATTTTCAGTCGTTGGCCATAGAAGAGCAGAGGGCAACGCTGACGTCATGCTAGCTACTGTTTTCATAAGTAACTAGGAGTGTGCAGGTTAACTGATACGCATCAGAAAACCAAGGCTTCAGTCAGCACAGGGATAGCGACTCTAGCATCGGCAGATAATGTCTAATGGCTTTGAATCACAGTGTATCGTATCCTTACATATTCATCTGTACCGTTTTTGTATCAGATCTAGATAAACATTCCCAACAGTAACAAAACCATTTATTCTTTGACGGTCAAAAAAATTAAGCTGCAATGTTCAGAAAGCTGGCTGAATTCCCCCCCTGGCTCATGCGGGGCCGTTTGAGCGCAGAAGTGCTGGATCGATAAGATTAAATTCAGTAATTTATCGTAAAAGATATTTCTGTACCTTAATGATTGCGCAATTTACTTTTTGGCCAGCAGCTCTTTCTCTCCTCTCCAGAGATGGTCTTTAATTCCTGTGTGAACCAATCAGTATGTGGTGCAGAGGTTTTTGTTCTGCATTAGGAATGTACAATCCATTAGATTTTACCCCGCAGGTCCACAGCAGAAAAGGTCCACACAGCAGTTGTGAACAGCACAAAAGTTTGGTTAAACCATTTCTTCCAACGGCTACTTCTGTCATTGTACTGTATGTTGGTGTGTGTGTGTGTGTACACTGACAATTCAAAGCCATCAGAACTTGTGCACTTTTGCTTCGGGACAGTTGTATTGACGCAGACAGGTTGCATAAAGACATCAAGTGAATCTGTATTCTCTCCTTTCTCCATCTGTTACTGTTACTGTCTTCTGGCAAAGTGTCCAGAGACAAACACTGCTGGCTACTGTCACTACTTCTGTATTCATAAGTCTAAAAAAAAACATCTCCTTTGTTGGTTTTAACAAACCTTTGTCTTTTTCCGTCTCCTTTTTATCCCTCCTTTCTGTGTCTCTAAATCCCTTTAAAGGCTCCTTTAACCTCAGGCGCAGCGGCTTTGACTTTTAAATCTTCTCCGAGAATGTTTTAAGAATTACTTTCCTGGACCATTTCACTCGAGTCGCAAAAGTTTATAGTTGTTCAAAAGACGTAACATGAGTTTTGTGATTCCACGTCACGCTGTCAGATGAGAGACGATCTTTTTTCCTTTGAAATCTTTCATAAAAACCTCCAAAGTAAGTGAGGAGGAATGTCTCAATCTAGTTGTTATAAAATACTTACTGATTCTTCAGTAACATAATAAAAAAACCTTGATCGATTTAAATCATCCTTTCCCGAGGCGCTTTAACTGCCTGGCCATTAAAAAGCACTTATCCTAAAGCATATGCAGAAAGTGTGGAGCCTCAAAGGTAGCTTTACGGCTCGGCATTATGCTACTGCAGCAGACGAACAGAGCAGATGAGAAAACAATGGGCCTCATGCTGCGACGATGCTGTTTGAGTGACGGGACGACTGCTGGTAAATACTTTAAATAAGGCAGGATTATGCACAGGGGATTACAGAGGCGCTGGAAAACTCAGGCGTGGCAAGTCCCCACATGGGAATGAGCTGAAACATCCACAGTTTTGCATACAGTACAGGAAGGGGGATTAGAGGTGATATACAGTATGTTACAACTATCATGTATTAATTCCTTTGTAGTGCCAATGTGTGAACAGAATGTAACGTAACTTAAAAACTGAGACCTTCCTTCTGTGGACCGATTTCTATGTATGTAAAGGAGTCGGGGCGGGTTTGAGACGTTTATAGACGCTTCAGAGTGCCTTGCCTCTCTCCAGCTCTGCTACAGCTCCCATAGTGTGTAGCTAACGTAGCAAAATACCGTCTAGAGTTGATAACATCAGCTAGTTCATCCAGACGTAAATTGGCTAGCTCGCCGTTTGCAAATGACTTTATCAACTAACGTTACGAAGCTACATTAAAAGCTAGCGAGCTAACCTTAGCTTGCTTGCTTGCTAACGTTATGGCCAGCAAAATTCTATCCGATTGGATACGTTAGTTGGCTAGCTTGGCAAATTAATTCCCCGGCTAACATGATCCATGATTGTAACTTACTAACAAGACTATGGTTAGCCAGCTGGCTGTAACTTAGCTACACGGCCTGAATCTGGCGTCGGTTGCTTTGTTACCTTAGCTGATAAAGTATATAGGAACATTACAGATAGTAACGTCTTTCTAAATAGGATATATAATTGAAATGTAAAGAGCCGAAGCCCAGGATGAGTGCTCGCAGTTAAGTGCAGTTCACCGAATGGCCACCGGTGTCATTAATAACAAGCATTTCAGAAAATTCCATATAGTAGCTTTAAATCTGATCTGAAGGTGTATTTGACTCCAGTACTTGATATTTGAGAACAACTAGAACTAGAGGCACAAGCAGGCAGCTATTTTGCACTAACTGTTCTCCTGTTCTCTGTGAAGTTTGCTGGAAGTGATGTAATGTAGCTCCGGTGTATTTTTTTTATGTGGAGCGAGCACAGTGCCAGACCTCGCTGAAAAAAAAACCAGCGTTTTAAATGCTACATTAATTATCAGCAACCGGTCACATGGTAACTTGGAGGCAATTTGTCCTTGTCTGCTCTTATTAATTTGACATGCAGTTAAAACATCAATCATAATGTTGTTTTAATGAAAACTCAACTCCTGGCATTTGATCCTGGTGTTCTTCAACACTGTTTTGAATGGAGGTACAAGCACTGGAAGAAAGACTAAAAATGAGCCTATTTTGTAGGATTTAGGACTTGAGTGTTTTGTGTGTGTGTGTCTGTGTGTGAGAGAGAGAAAGAGAGAGTGAGTGAGTGAATGTACTTGTGATGATCAACTAAATTGATTTCGCCAAAGCCTCGACCCTCTGCCATAATACAGTCAATAGAGACTTCAATAATTGACGTCAAGGGTAGAATGGAGCCTTGAAAGACCTTTCAGGTTCAGGAGTTATTGGACGTAAGACTTTATGATGTAATCAAAGATATGTGAAAAATAACAGATACAACACAACGTCTGACATCCAATTGACTGGAGGTGAAAAAAAATA